TGCTTTTGCACTGACCAATTCTGTAACACCTGCCTATCCAGTCTTCTCGTTTTCTTTCCCCAGCTGTAGGCTGCATTTTTTTGCATATATTTCCACCTCGAGCTAATTTTCCAGATTCGATGTTTAACTGCATTTCAGGAGCTCTGACCATAGCTTTGCTATCTAGCCCCCATCGCAACTATGTTGACTTCCCTATAAAGCCCTATCAGACTGGTCCTGGCAATAGCCCCGTGAGGTGGTGGGGCTCCTGGGTTTGCTCCCACCCTTCAGTAAGAACTGGTCGGTGAGAGCAGTTGAGCAGCCTTGTGAGCAGTTGCTACAGCTACAGAGGTGAGTGTGACTAGAAGAATATGGAATCTGGCTTTATAGAGGGCAAGGACTACCTGGAAAAGGAATTGCTCCCAGGAACCAGCATGGGGCTGGGCTGAGAAGACTGACAATGGAATAAAGCTCATTAACCCAGCTGTCCTGGGGACTTGTTAATCAAAGAGTGGCTGAATCCGGGCAAATTCTGAATGGTGATCATTGGAAAATCTCAATATATTTACATACTTTTTTATAAGTGCAATTCCTGAGGATGACCAATTTTCATTAAATCAACCTAGGATAAAAGTTAGAAGAAATGGTTACATGCTTGCTATGGTTGGAGAGGTTTGGACAGAGTCCTTGGACTGTCCAGGGGCTGAAGAATGTGAGAGGCACACAATAGAGACTAGAAATCAGATCTTTTATGGCCAACTCCATATCCCATCTGTTTTGATTATTATTTCTATACAACAAGCAGCCCTTAAGCTTGGTGGTTTAAAACAAGAGCAATCATTTATTATTATCTCCCAAGGATTAGAGGGGCCAACTGGTCTCAGCCAGGCAGTTCTCACTGGGGTGTCTCCCGCAGTGGCAGTCATGCAGTGGATGGGGTTGGAGTCATCTCAAAGGTTTCCTCACATATATGAAGTTGGTGCTGGCTGTCAGCTGGGACCTCAGCCCGACTGTCTGTCAGGACACCTCCATATGGCCTGGTCTTCCCCACAACATGAGGCTGTGTTCCCAGAGGGAGAGACCCAAGAGAGTGAGGCAGATGCTACATAGCCACAGCTTAGCCCCACTGTAATCACAGGTCAGCACAGATGCAGGAGGAGATACACTTCTCAAAGGCAGGACTATCAACATCAGTGTGTAAGAAGGGCACGTGATATGGGACATGTACTGTGGTGACCATCTGAAAAATACAATCTGCCACACCAGTTACCTTGGACTAGAGGAAAAACTTAGATTTGGGAGAAATTGGGTGGTAGGGCACCAGTGTTTGAGTGCCAGAGCGGGGCAAGGTAGTGGAGAACCAAGACTCCAAGCAATTCCTTCAAATAGTCAACAAATGTTTATTGGGCACTTATCATGTGCCAGAAACTGGGGCTACAGCAGTGAGCAAGAGACGAAGTCCCAGCCTTCGTGTAGGTTACAGTCCGGTGGGGAGATTATGCCCAACTGCTCAAATGAACACAGAAGCTCCACGAGGAAACAGAAAAGTCGGGTAAGGAGACTGGCAGTATTGGGGGGGGGTCTCAGTTTTAGATAAAGTGCTTCGGGAAGACCTCTCTGAAGTGGGGACATTTGAGCAGAGACCTGAATGAAGGGGGTGGGGGAAGCGCGCAGACATCCGGAGGAGGGCGCTCCAGGCTGAAGGAAGAGCAGGCGCCCAGTCCCTGCAGAGGGAGAAGCTTGGCACATTCAAGGAATAACAAGATGCCAGGTGCAGCGAGACGGTGGGACTGAGTTGGAGACGGGCAGGAAATGAGGTAGGAGAAGTTGCTAGTAGTTAATGCTTAATTTGGGGCAAAATCCATTTCAAAACATTGTTTCAGTTCATGTTTGTTTCCCCAGGTCTTCGGATGGGAGAGCAGCTCCTCCTCCTTGAAAGGTATCGGTCGCTGATATAGGCTTCCCGTATTGTAAATGCAAATGGCCACGTTTCCATCTGAGGCAGAGCTGACTGAGTCCAAATTACAGAAAACATCTCGGACATGAATGTAGAAGCATCTGGCCACCCTCAGGCACCTNGATGCTATCGGAAGGCAGAATTACGAGTCGGTGCAGGGTCAGCTTTCCCCTTTGCAGTGAACGAATTCTCTGCCTTTTGATTCAATTAATGTTTTGTTACTGGTTTTGTTTTTACCACAACTTTTCCATAACAAGGTGATTAATATGTTCTATAATCTATAGCATCATTTCCCAAACTTATTTGACCAAAATCCCTGTATTAGTTTTCTATTGTTGTTGCTACAAATCAACAGAAATTTAACAGCTTAATAACACAAATGTATTATCTTACAGTTCTGTAGTCAGAAGTCTGCCACAGGTCTCACCAGGCTAAAATCAAGATATCAGCAGGTGAAAAAATGCTCAACATCACTAATCATCAGGGAAATGCAAATCAGAACCACACTGAGATATCATCTCACAGTTAGACTGGCTATCATCAAAAAGACAGAATAACNCCAAATTACAGAAAACATCTCGGACATGAATGTAGAAGCATCTGGCCACCCTCAGGCACCTTCTCACCACTTACCACAGTCAATCTGGTCTTTGTCAGGGCATGTCTGCCTTCAGGGTGTAACTATGACAACGGAGCTGGATGCTGTGGGGCTGCAGCAGCCCTCTATTTGCACACGTGTGATGCTATCGGAAGGCAGAATTACGAGTCGGTGCAGGGTCAGCTTTCCCCTTTGCAGTGAA